AGCTCCTGTAAAAATCAATTACATTGTTGATCAGTGAAAAATTCTACGTAAAATTACTCAAGTTTTTGTATTGTACGCGTACTCTGTGATGAAAACATAATGTAGGAGATAAGCCGCTTTGGATATTTTATGTTGGCTTTGGGCTTCAGCTGCGCTTCAACTGCAGTGTAATTATTTATTTATTTTCCTCGATGCCTAATTGACATGTGGGCGAAAGGACGAGGCAGAAATGAGCAGTTAATGGTCGTACCTCTTTTGTATATTTTCCCGTAGTAGCTGCATTATACATGAACGAAGTTCACTAACGATGCAGTTTATTTATGAGGGATAAAATATTACCAGAAAGGCTTTGGCAATGTTGCTTTCCGTACTAATAGAAGGCCGAATTTTTAGATTATAATTTGAAACGACTATTAGGTTTTGCCCTTCACCGACGTAAACACTGTATACTCAGTGTGTTACCTCCCAACCTCCTGCTTTCTCGTGCAGACGTCTTTCCACTCGACCACCGAGCTAATGGGATCGGTTGGCTGGCTCGAATCTCATGTACATAGCAGCGGGTACCGCATTAACTTTTCGTAAGATGGAATTTTACGTCGGGTTGATGTAAATGACACTGTATACTCAAGTGTGTTACCTCCCAAGTGAAAGTTGGAAAAAAAACTTTGTCTAAGGCCAAAAAAAAAACATACGTCGGTCTCTGGTCAGCGCGCGCGTCGATTTTAATCATGCGCGTCGATCTTTTTTTTTCCCAAAATGTTCCGCGGTAGCTCCAACAGCGCCCTCTATTTCCGCACCTCCTAATTTTTTTTTTTACCAAAGAGCACCAAGGAATGGGAAATTGCACCAAGGCAAATGATCGAAAGCACCAAGGCAAATTATGGAGGACACCAATGTACATGAGGACACCAAAAAAAGCAAAATAGTACCCCACCTTGTCTGTACAATCCAAGCGTGAAGAAAAGGAAAAAAAGCAACAAAAAACCCCAAAAAGCCGCGTGGCCGTGTCAATTCCGGAACTTTGGTCTGACAAGAGACCGAATATTTTTTTTTTGCCTAATCAACCGGGCTTTATTATTGAAAAGGAATGCCCTTTTCTATAGGATGAATGCATCATACTTTAAAAGGCATTGAACCAATGTTTGTCTGCATGCTCAATAACTAATGACCGAATCACCCCCTTTTCGGTAACTCACTAATATCGTTTGAATGCTACTCCTTTCAAATATCATTGATTCCTCTGACCTCCGGGTCTAGCTGGACAGGCAAACTTGTCTTATTAATTTATTAGACCTGGAAGTTATACAATGAACATTCATTTTACACACTATCAGGTCTCAGTAACCAGGGGCAACGAAACCGGGGGGGGGGGGGGGCAGGGGGCACTTGCCACCAGTTTTACCCAAGTGCCCCTCTTGCGGACACGGTCCCCCTCGGGATGAAAACAAAACTAGCCCGAAAATTTCCGATAATTTGTAACCATTTCCCAAAATGGTATAGAGTGTTCTGATATGAACGGGGAATATGAAAACCAAGCCCCAGAACCCTTACAATTAATGCGCCCTGAAAATGGGCACATAATGCGCAGTTTGCATTACGGCCGGTTTTGAAGAGCGCCCCCTATTTGTGAAGATGGTACCAGCCCCCCCCCCCTCCCCCACTATTTGATTTGGAGGCCAAGTGTGCAGTGAAAAAAATGCAAAATGTGCAAGTGCCCCCCTTTTTTTTAGTGATGCCTGCCCCCCCCCCCCCCCCCCCCCCGTTTGAAAACCGTTCCCCCGCGCCGCTGTCAATAACTCTATTATTGGCCCAGCTGCTGGCCTTGCATTGAAGGCCACAATCATCATTAATCATCAAATGAACCACGAGAGATGACAATTTATATTTTCATATTTTTTTTCATAACCTATCAACAATATCAGCAATTATGAGAGGCAGACGTCAAGCGCTTGATGAATGTGTTCCTTTGTGTATATTCCGGCGGTTAATGAATTATTAATGACAACACAAAACGCAGTAAGGCTTCAGTGATCACGCATTTTGATGAAAATAATGACCCTTGAATACGTACGGCAGCCTTTGTGTGGTTGATAGGGCGCCACCCAGTCACCGTTTCGAATCGTTTGAGTTCTTCTTTCTATCTTTTCTGGACGTAAAAAGGTGACGTCATCATGTATCACATAATCAAATTACCACATTGTCATTTTTAACTCATGGGCAAAAACAACAATCATGTTTATACTTTGTAATTGTTACACCCTACCTTTATGACCCGGACGATAGACGTAATCTATCATTTTCCGAAATTCTTCTTGCATGACGAAAAACATGGTTTTACGTGTACCCCCCTAAAAAAAAAAGCCCCAAAACAAAAACAAAAAACATGTGAAGCAATGTTTTTCATCATGTATGAAGAAGAAAAATTTGATTTTTACCATTCTTTATTTGATTTAGGCCCTACAAGGACAAACTACTACCACATACTGAAACTGCAAGTACTATTATGTAAAATGTTATACATACTGACATTTGTAAAATGGAGCCTGGCTTTAATGGTTTAACAAAAAATGATAAATTCATTTTTCTGATGTCGTCGGCAGATAAACACACTATTATATGTGTGGCTAAATTTATTTTCCAATGTACAAATCTTAAAGAGAGGCAAAGCATGACGTAATTTCAAAGCATATTCTTTGTTAACCCACCTGCCAAATAATTTAATGTTTAATTTCACTGTTGTAACCCTTCCCCAGGGTCATGGGGTTTGTTCCTATTTGTGGAATAAAACATAACATAACATAACATATAAATATAAATATGCATAGGCACCCTTATTAATGACAATACCCGTACCCACATACACGTCCATTGTTGTATTTTGAGAAGTTCTTTTCACTTGATCTTGCATATGTATTAGTTTTTAAGTAAATCAACATAAATGCACATTTTGTTTGCAACAATAAAATGTTAAAGAGTCCGTAACAATGTCAAAGGCCATTTTCGAGGATGATTTTCTTAAGAAATCAATGTATCAAAAATAATTGCAAATTTTAGTAGTTACTCTTCCTATTCAAGGGTTCCGGAAGCGCGCCACCAGGGGTGAACTTTCAAGTTCTATTGCCATTGCATGACATAGCTCAAGATAGTCTTGGTCTGAGACTGGATTTGTGCATTCAAGCTAATACACGGTGGCACGGTGGTGGATTTACCGCGCTTGTCAGAGACCGGTTGATGGAAAAAAAATGAGGGCAGTACCAAGACAAAGCTCACGATCACATTCTCTGCCCACAAGAAATATGCATGCTAAAAGAAATGAAAACGTCTGTTTTTCGTCCGTTGTGAATAAAAAAGAAATGTTGCATGTGAACTTTGAAAGGAGTTCTTTTGCTGATTCATTGTTTGAATTTGTCGGATTTAACCGTTGGTATTTACCCTCGATTTACTGGTCTGCCCCTAGGCTAAAGGACTTTCAAAATGGACGCCGCCACGCATGCCGCGACAGTGTTTTTCAGTGGGTGGGACCTGGGGGGGGGGGGGGTTACACCAGCATTTCAAAGGCGCCACCAAGGGCGTATCCGCAACAAATGCTCCCAAATCTCAGGGGACCGATTGGCCATCAGCCGATTATAGCCGTTTCGAGAACAAAAACGGGGTTGTGAATAGGTGGTTTGGAGGAGTTGGAACTCAACTAACCCTATGGGGGCGCCCTACAGCCGGGCAAGGCGCATACAGGGTGCCCATGTTCATGTCTAATATTGAATTCAGAGAATAACTTTCTTCCCATTTTCTTGATAACAATATAAGTTATGGATACTTCCTCTTGACGTAAAAGTGGTCTGGGAAAGAAAAGCAACATTCGGCTATATTAAAGGGTGCAGGCCGGTAAATAGGCTCCAAATTGCTTTCGCGGTCCCATCGTGGTTTGTATGCCCTCAAAAGAGCATTTTGTGGGCCATGAACTTGAAGGTTTGTAATAAAAAAAAAAGAATGGAAGCCGTGCACAGCTCGCATTTCTGTGAAATTTGGATAAAATTGAGCCCTACAATGGCTCTATTTTGCAACGGTGCGTAGGCATCATTTTTCAAAATGGCGATGAGCCACAGGACTACTTTTAGGGGTGCAATGATCATCTTTGGATGGAGTTTTCTCCCAAAAGCCATGGGATTACCATCTAAAAGTTAAACAGAAAACGAAAGATGATGAAATAAGCTTTAATGTAATTGGGTGTCTCGAACACCTTGTAGAGTTGCGAGTATTTGTTTTGGAAGCGCACGTAATTATCACTGAGGTTTCTGATATCAGGGACCCGGAAGAGCGCCACCAGAGGTGGAGGTGAAGGTGAAATTTCCGGGTCTCTTTTCTATTCTTACCTTACAAGAGAGTGAATGCTCACTCGAGGTCGAGAGAAACTTAACTCCATCTCACTCCATCTAGGCTTGAATTCAGTCAATCAACTAGATCGAGTTTTACTCAAATTTCGATTGAAGTGACTATTTTTCAAACTGGGTTACAATCCAAACATTTGAGGGCTTTTCATACGAAATCGTCTGGTCTTTAATTTCACTCCATGGAAATTAGACACAATATTCCCTTCACGCGTTCACAGGAAAACAAGCTCGAAGTGATCTCGGAAGCTGCGGGCCAACCAATTTGTGTTCGTGCATGAGTGACGTGATTGTGTCACGTGATTGTGCCTCTAGATGGAGTAGTGTTTTGAGTACAATATTGACCATTGAGTGACCACAATAGCGCAATTCCCCTCCCTCCCACAGAAAGAGGTTTTATCAGGACTGTATTAAATTGGGAGGCGGTCAGTGGAGACCCATAAAAGTGACACAAAAGAGGGATGAGCTTGAGGCACTAGACGATATTGCCCATTGGCATGCCAATGCCTGAGGGACGAGTTGACATAGACCCATGCAAGGCTGTCACTGGAACGGAGAGACACGGTGATTTCCTGAGCTGCTGTTCGCAGCTGAAAATCACCCATTCCTGGCCTGGACCCAAAACCGTAGATAACCGCTGCATGCGTCGCTAATCGGGCCTTCTGGTTCGCTGGGTTGCTGCCAGAAAATGGAAGTAGGCCCATTTGCTAATGGCCACCTATATTATTGTACACGGCATTGTATTTTGTACTGCTAACACATCGTAACGGTTGATATCGCGATCGATTGCTCGCAAAGACAGGTCAAGGCTTGAATAAAAAGTAATTTTCTCAAAATTAAGGCCACCGTTGGACAAAACGCCTTCTAACCACGCTACCCTAACAGTTGCTATACGTTTGTCATGGTAACTCTTGGCCAGTTGATTGGAGCATGGCGGTCCGTGATTCGAGTACGTGCTCCACCGTACTCCACCAAATTGCAGTTCTGTGAAACTGCGAGCGGTTGTGTATACGAAAATTATCTCTTACGCCGATAACCATGAAACAGTCAACAGGTCTACATTAATCAAGTTGAATCAAGCGGCAGATAAAAAAACCCCACAAATTTCAAATTTTAAAGAAGGATCGCGTGCCGCTCATTAATTTCCGGTGGAAATATTGATCGACATTAAATTGGATTTCATCGTCTCATATATAAGATTTCTCCGGGGAGACAGCGCAATACACCTTCGGTTGGTCAAAGGAGCCGGCAGTTGGGTTTGACAACCGAGAATGCGCGGGTTGGGAACGTTTCTCGTGGCTTTGGCCATATCCTCGCCGTCTGCTCTTGGTAAGTACATGTTTTCATTTGACATGACGGCCCGATTCGGAGTGTTAATTACAACAGCCAAAACCGGGCAACTGCCTCGTTGTTCATTCAAATTTTAGAGCTTGCTTTTAACGACTTAAAGTTTCCTAAGGGGTTATTTTCGGACGTCATTTTCTGAATGGGAAGGGGTAGGGGGGTTGAGACACCCGTCTCATGCGCCGCCTTTCCTGGAGTTACGCCATTTTTTTCAGAGCAGATCCATAACCAAATCAGTTTTTTAAAGAAGGCCTGTCAATCCAGCTTCTATTTACCCGTCCATTTTATCAACTAAAAAGCATTAATTTTAAGGGTAAATACGTGGCAAGGAAACGAGACGCATGAAATACCGCAAACACTGATTTTACCGCACTTTCCTTCGGGAACGGTATCAGTGTTTCTTCATGGACCCACTTTTCCCCTTTGCTTGAAGCACACACTTGCTATTTCGGCCAGGAGGCTGAATCAGAACCGGGCCCAGGCGGTTACACTCAGTACCAATGGGTGCTGCAGGGGGAGGCTTCCCTCGACCCGTGCGGCTGTACTGCTTTCCAGCTGGGCGGCGTGAACACGGTGACTTTCGGTGGCGGCGTGCGCTCCTTCAACGTGTCTGAGCTCAGCAAAACACCGGAGGAGATTCGCCGCACCCTGGACTGTCAGCAGGGTGAGTATAAGGCCTGAATTTATACGAGTGCAACGAACCAGCAAACCCCCCCCCCCAAAAAAAACCCACATACCCCCAAAAATCGGAGCAAAGCGTGGATATAATTAAAACTAATGCTGAGTTAAAGTGAAAGGGCCCATGACATGACTTTTACTTGAGAACAAATTTTGTGCAATTTTCTTCTCTTCTTTAATGTATGAAAACAACTTGACATGTCTTCATCTTATTTGAAAAGTGCACTTCTTTAAACATTTAAAATTGCCGTCTAAATGAATATTGAAATAAGGTTAAAGGGGACACACAGGTGCATTTACATGGACTGCATTAAAAAAGTACATTGCATGGGTCCTTTAAAACAACACTATATACTGGACCAAAGCGTATTGTCAAGTTTGGCAATTTGCCCTCCCCCAGGAGATTAAAGTATACATAGGAACATTCCCCCTTTGTGCTTTTTAACTCGTTCGAACCGCTCAAAATGTTAATCCCAGAATTCCTCAAAATCGTGAGATCAGGTTCATGTTCAGTTTTCAAATCAGGTTCAGATCAGGAAAGAAGGCATAAAATAAACCAATTTTCTTGTGAACCTTTAAGAGGAAAAATTGCACACACCTCACAGCCGTACCTACACTCGACCCCCATGGGCGTCGCGAGGGGGGGGCAAGGGGGGCACTTGCCCCCCCCCCCCTGGAAAAGCAAAAAAAAAAAAAAAAAAAAAAAGGAAGAAAAAGAAAAGAAAAAAAAGAAAAGAAAAAGAGGCGCGAAGACAAAGTGGTGTAAATTTAATGAGTTTTTTTTGGGGGGGGGGGGGCAAAATGCCCCTGCCCCCCTCTAAAACTGATAAATCGAGAATGTGTTGAGAAATACAAGCACTTTTTGGCAAAAAAAAAATTTGCCCCCCTCTAAAAAAATCCTGGCGACGCCCATGTCGACCCCTTTAACAATTTTAGGAAGAAAAGAAACTTGTAGTGCCTTACTAATACGACCCAGCACCCAAACCACTCATACGGTACATAAGTAAACAAGAACTGGACTAACAGTTGTATCGATTGGAATATCGATGGATTGATCGAGGTATCGATTAACGTCTTTTTTTCAATATAGGTCTTGATGCAGCAGAAGATTCAACGCTCATCACCAATAACGGGGATCCGATTCGCTTCCCGTTCGAGCCATTTACGACCTTCGTGCTGCGCAGTACGTTCGAGCTCAACACGGTCGATCAGTCCGGCAAAGCACACTTCTATCTGGCCACAAATACTCCAGCAACGCAGACGAATAGGCCACCTTACATGATAGGTACAAATGCCTTACCCGTTTTAATATTCGTTTTAAAGGCAATATACAACATTTGCAAACATCGAAAAATAAAACTACCAAGTTTTTGCGAAATACCTTAATAGGATGTTGGTAAATGACAGTCTAAAGCATCCTGTAAAATTATGGCACCTGGTGTGAAGTAATGTCAAGAAAATGGTATTTTTGTAAAAATGTCCAGCGGTGGTCGGCCGACCACCGTTGGAAAAACCTAACTATTTTTCAACTTCTGCTCCAAATTTACCATTAATTCAGTCCAAATTTTGTTTGCTATTGGTTACATGTTCATGAACGGATGCAGGCCAGCTAGACTGGTACCCTTACCTTACAATTTTCCGGCATCTGTAAATTGATCTATTTTATATTTAGTGGAGTCAGGGAACCAGACTACTTGAACAGTTTTGTTTTTCTTGGTTTTTCCAGCATTTTCGAACACAAAACTTCAAACATGTGAGTGTAACAATATTTGATCTATTATACTAACCCCTCAAATAGTTCATTTCTGAAAATTACAGCAAAAGCCAATGATGTATATTCCCTTTAATTGAGACAAGCATCATAATATTATCACACAATGAACAGGCAATGACCGACTTAAACAAAAGAGCTCGTCACAATACGGAGCTTAAAGTGATCATCCGTGATCCGTGATTATTATCCTAGATAGTACAGCCTGAAATGTGACCGCTGGTGGCGCGCTTCCAAACCCCTAAATATTAGAAAAATCACTCTTAAAAAAGGCCTTTGTAACTTTGGTACTAGCATCTCAATTCATGGAAACTGAAAAATCATCTGAAGTAAAAGAGAGATATCGTGCCAAAAACTGACATCTCACTTCCAAGAATCGAACGTACTTGTGGACTATTGGAGCTTGGAGCCCTTGTACAAAGATGAACATTTGTGAAATATTTTGTGGCGGTCATTGGGTAAAACCTGAACTTAAATAGTAGACTAAAATGTCTTATGGGACACATTTTTTTGGGAATAATTTTGAAGGACTCATTATCATTTACAAACAAATCTAAAATGACCGTTAGTAAGAACTGTATTCAACCAAGCCCGACTTAATCTAGAATCCATCGGATATAGGTAAGTAATTCATTTTCGTTCTCACGCAAGTACGCGATGTGAAAATAAAAGTGATCGAAAAAAGGAGACCGAGGTTCAAAAATTCGGATGTGAAAGGTCGTAAGTAAAATACGCTTTTACCCGTTTAATACCAACCGAGTTTTTATTTTGGTGGTCAAACATTTATTTTACATTTTTTTCAGATGCACATTTCTCAAAATTGGGGAGACATGTTGAACTTGTTTTAAGATATGCTCATCGTCAGTGTACTTCTTTGTGTAGTGCTATCGTTTTGACCATGTCTCATACACTTACGTGTGGACAAACTGGTTTTTGACCAATTTTTCTGTAAATGGCCGCCATCTCTTAATTTAGGCTATATTTTTAACGCCGTTTGCACCATATAACACCAATCTGGTAGTTTAAGAAGATCTTAAAACAGAAGACATGTCCCCCAATTTTGAGAAATGTGCGTCCGAAAAATGTGGCAACTTTGTTTCTGGAACATCCTGTAGTTTATTGTCATAAAACGACAGCTATTCCACAAAATGAGTTCACTTTAATTCTATTTTATGCAGAGTTCATGGCGGCTCGAATGAACATACGCAAGCTGGACGCCTCCACCTCAATCTACGAAATGTTGGCAAGTGAGACCATCCCGAGTGATGCAGCGGCCATTCGTCGATTCAGAGTCCTCTACAAATACCTCATCGGCGATCAGGACACCCCTACTGTCCTGATCGAGGTCATCTTCGAGATGGACGGAGGAGGACAGTCTTCATCATTTGCCTCCGTCTCAGATGGGAAGCTAGTGCACTATGTGGGTATTTCCTCGACAGTGCGTACACAGTGGAAATTTCTGGATCCTTAGTAGGGTTCACATGTATATAATTCATTTTGGCGAACACATTTGTTTTAAGAATTTTTTTTTTTAAACATCGTTAGACTAATTTCCTTTGTGGTACTCGAATTTGTTTTATAACGGACACACTGGAAAACGACGCCAAATACAACGACACGCAGATTGCCAATTTTCTTCAACGGCAAACCTTCAATCCTGGCCAAATCTCGCTGGCCCCCAACCCCCCCCCCGGCCCCACTCAATGTTGTCTCAAACATTGACCGTGGGAGCGGGGGAGTGGGGGAGTGCCTGGGTGACCGTGGCAGGCTCAGGAGGTGTCCAAACCATTTTGGCCGGGATTGTAGCTTAATCGAGTATTTAAAGATATTTTTCTCGGAAAAGAAGTTGCAACCTGACTCCACTTGTTAACTCGGTGTGTCGACATCTTACATATTAGATGTTGTCATCCTGTGATTATTTCAGGATCACAACAAATTGGATGGAGCTCTGTAAATACTGTAAAAAAAACTGAATAATTTAATTGACACGATATTTGTCCGGATTTTGCGCGTGCCGATTGCCCGCAATAGCTGCGACAATACTGCAATGAAATACCTTCACTTTCTTTCTTCAGTGTAAAAATATCAGATTTTTCACCGTCAAAACGTACATACCTCTAGTCCCATAAGTAACACACAGGTAAAAGCACCAACAGGTTACCTAGAGTCCAAACGTATAGTTGTCAACTGTTTGGAAATAAAACAAATATTAGTGGTTGCACTTGAAAAACGTTGTGAATGTCTTATTATTTTGGTGACTAATTTACTGGTTTATTGTCGGGTTTAACAGTTGGTAATCACCTTTATCACCCGATATACATGTATATTCATGAATTAGCATTTCATTGAATATTCAAAATCCATGAACTACTTGGACATAGAAGAAGCACAGTTCTTGGATAATTGAAGGGGATACCATAGTAAATATTACATTAAACAAAATAAGTAAATAAATATAAGACATGCGCAATGTATTCATGAACTTGAATGTCCATTGAATATTCATTAACTTAATTTGCATCCGTGAGTGATTTGGACAGGTCCCCCAAGCACAGCAGTTCTTTGACAACTGATGGGGCTACCCTCGTAAAATAAAACGTTAGATAAAACAAAATTAAATAAAAAGTAGAATGCTTATATACCGGATTGAATTAGTGGGTGGACGCATACAATCCTATCATGTGGATACGCCTCTGTTATTTGTGCAAGGTGATTACATATGTCGATCAAAAATCGATCAGGGTGCCATTATTTTCTTACTGAGCGTCCAAGTCAGCGGTACTCCAATTATTAGGATCACAAAAATCGATAGAGCAACTGAGCTCCATAATAGTATACCACCGCTGTCAATATCAGCGATTTCACAAATGACTGTATAGTTCAAGGCAACCATTATCGCTTGCTATTATTAACACAACGCACTTAACTATATCAACTAAGTGTTCAAACTGAAGACTATAGACCAAGCAGGGTGACCGTAAGGTCATGACTAAATTCTGCTAAATGCACTTCAAAAATCTGTCAGATGTATCAAAAATCTTCCAAATTCCCAAGAATTACTCGAAATACACTATAAACACTTTAAATCACATGCAGATGTTGTAATACTGCCTTGATTAATGTTCAAATTACATTATAAACAATCTATAGCCACATAAAGATAATATGAAATTGCGTAAATTACAGGCAAAACATGGTTGCGTCCGGCGACGAAATCCGGTTCCCAATGAACCTCAGCACCTAAACCAGGCAACCTGTCTTATTTTGCAAGGGCCTTTGTTTTCAACGATTGCAGCTTTTAACACAAATGTACCAATTTTTTTTTTGCAAATATGCTGTTTTTCTGTCAAATAACCATTTTTGCAGAATTCTGCCAGAAATCTGCCAAAAAAAATCCATTCTGTCAAATCTTCTGTCAAACTCGTTTGGTAACAAAAAATCTGTCAAAGCTAGCCGAAATTCGGCTAAAACGGTCACTATGAGACCAAGGCACGTGCATACTGCCACACAATGAACGTATAATATTTTACATATCGCGGTAGTGTTCATAAACTAAATTGTACCAATTGAGCCCCCGCTATTGGATCTGCGTCTCTAGAGGGCGCGTTTTCGTGCGGATATCTCGGCTCACTGCAGGCAGAGAGTTTTCCAATAATTATTTTGAGGTTATTTATGTGGTGCACAATAGTATTAAGTTCCAGCGTACATATATATGGATTCAAATACTTGATCACTTGGGTGCGGTCGGCAATTAACTATACTATCCGGTTCTTCCATATACACACACCTGATGATCATGATCCTTTCGCCGAAAATAAAATGAACGCGAATCCACAAAGATTTATTGATACTGAAATCGAAGTTAACTATATTTACACAAAGTACACAAAGATACCAACCGTGTTTATAGTATTTCCAAATTATTGCAAAATACAACACAGAGAAAACCCGATAGGCCAAAATAATTATTCGATTCTCAACTCTCATTATACAATTTGATATGAACTCAAACGGCCCGAAACCGATATAAAAGAGTCAGGTTGCGTGCGCAGTTTCAATAAAACGTTGCCTCGCGATCTCAGATCTCAAAACAGAGTTTTGAATGATATCGTACAAACTTCGTCATTATTCATGCAGTCTGCAATTCGTAACGTCACGAGCGGCGGGCGGGAATCATGATAGCTTTCTCCCTGTAGGCTTACATTTAGCCGCATTTCGCAGAGCCTATACGCAGTTTTTTTTGCACAAGAGTATACGGTGCGCGTTTGAAGAATAGATCAACGAGATACTCTGCATGGTGAAGTAGTGAATCGTCGGACGCAAAGAGGTGGATGACAATCCAGTTCAACAGCTACATTCCACTGTTGGTGAGTTACTAGCGCCTTTTAAACTTTCTCTCTTTCCAAGTCATGCATGAGGCCTGTTGTTAGCGATGCACATATAGACATGGCGAGAGGGGTGTTTGTTAGAAAACCATGAAGTAAACTTGTTGAACAAAATCGTTGGCAATTTGTGAGTTTTTGGCTTGCTTTGACTTTTTGACCGAAAAGCCTTCGGCTTTGGCCGTTGTCCGCGTCCAGGCCACTAGCCGGTTTTGAACGTATTGTTTAAAACCGGCCAAGAACACATATTCCCTTATTGATAGGATAACACGTTGATGTGCCGGGGAAATAGGCAGATGTTGGGTGGCTTGAATCCTACCCCAACAACAACTGTACACAAATTAACAAAAAAACCCCAAACAAACAAACAAACAAACACTAATGAAAAGAAAAATCTTAACGACAAAATACACGTAGGCCAAAGAGTATTTTCTAAGTTCGCCAAAAAGAATTGTGTCCGACATCTTACGTCGTTGTAGTAAGCTTTTAATTCAGACAACAAAGTACAGTAATTCACCAATTACAAATGTTTTTTACGTTCCAATAATGAAATTTACAACCTCCGTTCCAAGCCGTAACACTGTCACCGTTTACATCAAAAAACACCATTTTTATTTCTACTATAATGAAAATATTGCATTTTTTCAGACGGGCGCCGATCAAGGGCGGATCTAGAACACGATTTTTTTTGGGGGGGGGGGGCCAAAAAAAATTTTGGTCCCCAAAAAAGTGGGTCAAAAAAATTACGGCGTGGGGTTCGGGGCCCGCTTAAGGGCTCCGAAATTTTTTTTGGATTCTAGATGCTCTGTGGTGCGATCTGAGGCAATTTCTGACCACTTTAACCAATGTTTTTTTTGAGGAAAAGATGGTGGTGTACTCATTGCCTGCCTTTATTGCGATGTCACATAAAAAAAAAAAAATGGTTTCGTTTGGGGGGGGGGGGCATGGCCCCCTTTGCCCCCCCCCCTGGATCCGCCCTTGGCGCCGATGCGTGTATACGAGGTTGGTTGCGGAAAATTGCCGTCTTTTACTGATTCACATTGCCATTGTGTTGTGTGTTCACCCGATACATTAACTGAAATGTTCTCAGTCGAACCACAAAGGGAAACTGACTATACTTTTAATAAGGTCGAAAAAAAAAATGACTGGAGCGGGGTTTGAATCTGCGACCCCAAATGAAGACGGTCAGAGCATACTGACCGGAACGTCGAGTTTATACCTCTGGTTCTTTTCAGAACCATTCTCTTAGTTGAGAAATTATTCGCACATGGTGTTTCCGCAAACCTTTCATTATTTAGTATCTTCACCATGCAAAGCCTCAAATCTTACTGACCCCAAATTTGCCGTCCGTGCAAAAAGAAGGAAACCCACTTTTGACAGCAATTTTCACCTACTTGTTGAGCATATTTCAAAAATTTAATGGTATTAAAATATTGATCTTTAAACATAAAAGTGACGAAACAGTTCTTCCAAATGCATATTTTGTCTCTGCGATATCGTAGTTTAAAAATCTCATGTGCCAAACCTGTTTGTCCACGGACGGCTTTATTCCATCCGCTTGACTGAGCTCCGGAGCTTGATTTGAAGACAAAAAACACTATACTAGACTTACACGTGGACAACAGTGATTTTGGTGACTTGTATTCAAATTTGCATAAAAACGCTATTCTTGCAATGTTTTGAAAGATTTTTTTCTCGCCGTGTATGGTTGAAGAGCTATACTTCACTACATTATAAAAACTCATTCAAATAAGTTAAGTAAGTAGGTTAAAATTCCTGTCAAAAGTGGGCCCCCTTCTTTTTTGCACCATAAAAAGTCTTTGTTAAAAGGGCGATACAGTCAGAAGCCAAAGAGCCAGGAAATTGACCAAAACAAATGGGGAACAGCCAAGATAGGGCTGGCTATCCCAGTTGGTAGAGCGACGGAACGGCAATCCGGAGGTCAAACACCGCTCAAGTCAGTTTCTCTCAACTTCATTGAAATGAAATATATTGCAAAAATGAAAATTTCCTAAAGCAATTTTCAGTGCCGCTCCTTCTTTTCATTAAAAATTACGTGAAAACGGGAAAACACAAAAAAAGAAGAAGAAAGAATGACAATATTTTTTGCAATATTCAAGGTAACAGAGGCATAGGCCTAGTCACTCACGCGCGAAATTGAGTCCATGTAACTGAATGCCACCGCTCAGTTATGATTTAAGTGGACGGTTGCTATCCTGAGTAAATTAAATAAATTCAAGGTACGGGCTTGAAAAGACAGGCATGCATGAAACATTTTAAAATCGTGTTTTCAAAAGAAATAAAACCTCCATGCAGGCTTTTCGGGGCCAGATTAAGATTGCGAAATGGCGTCCGCCTATTGAATGGGGAAGCCCAACGAACACAACATCATGCTCTCGTTAACGAGTACAAAATCGTTGATGCTGCAGGCGAAATTAATTATTGTTTTTATTAATCTGCGTCGTCAAAATTAAATCTTCTTATTTTAACGTCCTAACATGACGTACTTCGTGACTTTCTATTCTCCCGATTGTGGACCGCCTTGGCTGATGAGCTTCAAACTTATTCAGTTAAATAATGGTAGACTGTCCAACTTGCAAAACATGTGAAAAGTTCAGGTTAATATGTTTGCAGTATATCCCAGAATTTACTAAGGCCGTGTCCCGAAATTGTGCATTACGCGGGCGGGAATTCCACTTACCGCGGCGCCTTTACGTGCTCGGGCATGGTCTATAGGCCCCTTATGCAAACTTAGCTAAGTAAGAGTTTAGATGAATGACGGTCACACAGGGCCCTTGAATAGAGCTTTTGGCATGGTACGAAAGTAAATCAAGTTTAGAAGTGTATATTCATTACGGGGTTGTTAAAATGTATAGATACACCTTTAAAGCAATTATCACCTTGGCTATGGAATCATGGTAATGTTGATCCTCATCGCTGTTAGTTAAGCACGAGCCGTTATTTTAGACCCATCCAATCAAACACAAGCATTTTTACCAAATATCAAAGCGCAGATAGTGTTTCCTTGACAGCACAACGTTCAGTCAATATCGCTGTAAAAGCCTATTAAGTCAAAGTGTCACCGAAGGTTTAAAACATAAACCTCTTTCATTTCCGCCGAAAATGAAGCATATAGAATTCACCGGACAATGTGGGGTCCAATTTACAGAGGGCGACTAAGCGTAGGGAAAGGTCGTTTTCTGAAGGGGGCACTTGAGATTTATTTTATATACATGTGTAGTTCTGAGGCGTTCGAAAAAAATGCACCTAATTTGAAAATCACTTCATGATTTTAAGTCAACCACTTGCCTCATATTGTACTACACTCAACCAAAAAAGAAAGTCCCCCCTTCCAACACTTTCCAAAAAAACTACTGAGCACCTCTCGCTCAAATAACGACTAATCGGTACAGAAATTCCTTAGCAATCCAGCCATACTCTTTATTTGGCCAAAAACAGTGATAACGTGTTCGAAATTATGCAATTTATGACAATGAAACCGAAAACAGTTGCACTTTTGTGTTCGTGCAAGTTGCGGTTCACACTCAACTTGCAAGTATAAAAAAGTGCAACTTATTTTTGGTACCATTTGTCATAAATTGCACAAAAATTATTGTGAACACGTTATCACTGTTTTGAGCAAGATGTGCCCAGTAGTTTTTGAGATACACAAAAAGGGATTTTTTGTTGGTTGAGTGTATTATGGAGCAACACTTAAGGGATACAAGCTTCCTTCAAAGGTCTTTGGACCAGGCAGTAAATTTTTGGGAGTCCGGAGCCTATTTTGGGGGATAAGTATAGGGCGATTTTTAAGAACCACGTATACGTAACCGCTTTTGAGCTCAAAGGTTGTGGCTTATCACCAGAAAACTCCTTGCACCTGACTAAGTATGAGGATTTTTTGTATACCTCCCGTTACCCGATGTGGTGTGGTGGTTCACTAAACATGCTCAAACACTCTTAGCGTTGTACGGGTGACCGCAAATAAATCAGAGGTGCTCATCGGAAATGTTGTGAAGGTTCCTAATGAACTGAGCTAAATGACCCTATCACGAAATGCTTTCTTCATTACCAAGTCATGTATTAGTGCATCTTCCTCATATACATGGACTATTGTGCCGTAATTTGACTCGCGTAATTTATAACTTCCAACACGCGTGCCATTTTGGAACATCTCCCGAGCGATCATGTAATTTGGTAATTTTGTCTTACACGTTTTCATTAACAAAATGTTACTTAAAATATCGTGAAAAAAAAATAATATCGCAGGTCGGCTCTTGAACGAAATGGCGGTTGTGACAATGATGGAACAATTCCTCTTTCAAGACGCACAATATCACAAAGCTAATCCATCAACAGGCTCTTGTTTTTTGTATCGTACATTTAGGTTTAAAGGTAGAGTATATCATTTGCAGCTATCCAAAAAGTAACTGACGAAATTATTGTTAAAAAAACATACTTGGCTTAAAGATAGTAATGGCAATAAAGTCCTTGTGAAATTATTCTTCCTGTCAGCTGTCATTTTGAAGAAAACAACAAAAGAAGGCAATTCCCAAATATGCGTCAAGTGACGAATTATTTTTTGGAAATTTCTGTTCCAGTAAAGTTAGTTTGTAATTTGGCGAATCCGTGAATGAATTATTCGCATAGGTATAAGAAGAATCAATATTTTTTTTATTCTTCTGGTAGCTCCGATAATTCGTCGGTTCAGCGAGTCACGTCGCGCTGCAATAATTGGCTGTATTAAAATGAGAACGTGTCCCGGACGCTGATTTCGGGCGCAATTCAAAATATGACTCGGCAACTTTTGAATTGAACCTAGAATATTGTTTTCTCGAAACATACAGCGTTCACTGAGCTTAAACTTCATTGGGTAAGTAAAGCACCCTTCCTTAGATTTGAGCAATTTGTTGCTTCAAACGAAAACAAAAATCACAAATGACTTAATGATATACTCTGCCTTTAAGTGAAAGGAAACGGTAAGTGCATTAAACATAATAATGAAACGGAAGAGAACAACCAATTATTATGCATCACTCTCAAACCGCAAAGCCGACATGGATATCCACTCAAATTTGTCATTCTGAGAAAACACTCTGGATGTCAGAAAAATGACTCGCTCTCAAAAAATTGATTTATAAAATTGACTCCAGCCAGACGGATCTCGGGAATTCTGTTTATTTGTAGAACTCCCATCTGCGCTTATGTTTGTGCCCTTTTTTCAATGTTACATGGACAGTAATAAGGACATTCCAAAGTAGCGGGAGAAGAACACAACGCAATATTCTCGGTAATATAGCCCATATATCACTGGTGGTGGGAGGGATGTTGTGGTTAAGACTTGGGCAGAAAAATAGACACCGTATTGCCGATAGTAAATATTTCGCAACATGCCGTGTTGAGGAGAGGTGTATATAAACGTCGACCGTGCCATGCCATCGGATTGATGTATTACGACTGTGCCAGTGTCATATGAAAATCAGAGTCCTATGAAAAAAATCGGATTCCTTTATTGGTTCAACCCTACCATGTCACCTCCTAATTATCTTCGCTTAGGCATGCGCAATACTACCGATGAGTCCGCATTTCATAGAAACCTAACTTGTCGCTACACCGGCTGGCTCTGCTCCGAAAGAGGTTTGTATGAGCTTTCTATAGCAGTGTTTGCATGCACTCCCGGCCATACTTCAATGTATACGCGAGCGCGAATACCGCAGCCACTAAACGGTAAGAGTGTTCGCGTAGAGAGTGCGCCATAAGTAAATTCAATTTTGTCTAGTTCATGAGAACTGACTGGATCATTCTGCAGGTTACATACGACTGTGGATTCCCAATCACCCTAGACTGATTATCGTTGATGTCTCTTTTAACCATTTGAATTTTCAGAATGTGAATGGTTGAAATAAGGACCAGGGACCACTTGAGAAGCTGTTTTTGGAGGAACACAACGCGCCAGGACACAACGCGCCAGGACACCCGATAAACAATGGGTAACGGAGTCACGACCGTCACCTGCGATGCAAGCAACACAATCAACTGCTCCCTCTCCGCTGGATGCGCAGAGAGTTTGCTGTACGACTCAACTACCTTGGCCATGGTCCTGGCCGTCATGCCAACCATTCTTACCTTCGGCCTGGTCGGGAATGTGGCCTTCCTGTTCGTCATGACGAGGGTTCGTTCCATGCGAACCGTGACCAACGCCTACCTGACGAACCTCGCCGTAGCGGACATCCTGTTCCTGGCCGTCGCGGTGGGAGACAAGCTGACCCGATACCTTATCACCCCGATCCCGGCAGACCAAACCCACTTCGGAGTGGCCGGATGCATCAGCCTCAACCTCCTCCAGCACCTCTTCAACTGGGTCTCCATCTTCCTCGTCACTCTTGTCACTCTGGAGAGGTACTACGGCGTGTGCCACCCTCTCAAGCACATGGTCTTGCACACCTTCTCACGCACCTGGAAGCTGATTGCCGGTGCCTGGATGCTAGCGCTAGTACTGTCAGCTGTCGTGGTACCCATTCATTATCGCATTCTGCACCTTTGCATTGTCTGGCCTGAGGATTCGAAGTACTCTGGCTATCCGGCTGCACTCGGCCAGTGTGCAGCCGTCCCTGGCAACGACGATTGGGTAGGGGTGTTCTCCAACCTCTTCCAGACCATCCCCTTCTTCTTCGCCATGGCCATCAACTGCTTCGCATACACTGGGATCATCCGAGCGCTCAAGGGCAGGTCTGGGACCATCAAGCTGTCTCGAGAGGCGATCCTGAAGAACAACCGCATGTGTAACCAGGTCTCCGTCATGCTCATAGCCAACGGGTTATCTTTCTTCGGATGCGTGGCGCCGTTCCAGTTGCTCTGTGTGGCCAGTGCTATCAGTGATCTGAGCGGCAACAACATTGGCTTTGGAAGTTTCGTGCACGTTGCTCGAATCATGCTGTACCTCAACTCGGCAGTCAATCCGTACATCTACAACGTCACCAATGCGTCCTACCGGCAGTCGTTCAGGGACGCCTTTCTGGGACGAGCGTCGAGTCGCGCGTCTGCCCAACGCAGATATCTGAGCGACTCCAGAGCACGGAGCGGGAATGGGCCCTCCCAGGATGGCAACAGCGTGCAGATGTCAAGAGCAGATGTAACTGGCGCCACCTATTGATGGGTCCTTTGCTCGGAAGTGTTGGAGTCCTTACATGTCCTTACAATCTCAAATCATCCAGTCCGATTAATAACCTGAGTGCCCTTATTGTTCATCCCCGTCACTATAAACCTTTGTGACCGAATGTAATACTGTGGGGTGAAATCACTTGTAATATGTGACGGGATTGTTATGGGCTCGAGTACAACACTGATTGCGTGGTTGGGTTAAAAGAGAGGTTTCATTGGCTGGCAAGCTTCAGCTACTTGAATTATGGTTCGCACGTAGATTAGCAGCTATAGATTGTAACGACGCAAATCGTATCTGTGCAAGCACAGCCTTGCTTTCATAACACTTCACGTTCAAATAGGGTTCATGCTCAATAGACACAGATATCTCGATTTTGACCTTAACATCGACGAGTAACAGCCCAAAGGCATCCATGCCTCGACTGACTTTTGTTGGCCAAAATCGTGTTCACAGTGAGATCTAGGGTGCATGACTAAACGAGGATTGGTTGCAAACCAAAGGGTTGACCACACCCGTTTGAGAGTGGCGTTCTAGAGTTGCGCTGAAACATACGACGCTTGAAAAAAAGGTAGAAGCGACTACACGCGCAAGTCGTCCAAAGTCGTCCAAGACGACTGCAGAGTCTAGTTGACGAAAACTTTAATACCTAAAATTAGCCTGTCTGAAACGGGAACCTTTTGGGTCCACTAGAGTCGCTTCATATATGCTTTGGAATCGGCGCGCCTCTGGTACGTACTTGTTAAACTTAAAATCCTTTGGGCGCACCTAAGGCAGGGCTACATTACTCTGTGGTTTATGTGTACACATTATAGCTGCATTTTTCCCAAGAATGCAAGCATGATTGTACAATGACCAATTAGGTCATTCAAAACTTTTACAAATTTCCTTCTAACAATTTTCTTCAGAGACGGAAAATTTAAAATCAATTAAAAACCTTGAAGACAGTTACAAACGTGTCGCTCGTGTAAATGAGTTTTAGAATTAATTTTTCATAAAAGATGGAATTTGTGTCGGAGTGATGTAAATGCAATATTGTGTTTTGCCGTTCACCGACATATTTTGTTTTTATAAACACTGTATACTCAGTGTTGTCTCGAGTGATAGTGAGAAAAATCAGGCAAGCTCGGCGGTCGACCACCGGGGAAGCTCGCTGGTCGAGTGGTAAAGACGTCTGCACTAGAAAGCAGGAGGTCGTGGGTTTCACATGGACAAGTGTACAGTGTTTATAAAATCCGTTGGCGAAGGGCAGAATCGAATATTGAGATTTAACCTTGCTAGTTCTCACAAATTTGAGATGTTTTTGTTACACTTAACATTAATTATTAATATTGATACATTGTATACAAGTGAATACCTGTTCATGCATCTTGAACTTTTAGAAGATTCGTGCACTTTTGCTCTTGTTAATACATGTACAAATAATTGTCATTTCGAATGAAATTCACTTGCACACAGTTGACCCAAAAAAATGCGTTTAGTCACGTTGACTTTAGTTTTATCAAGTACATGTATAAAGTATTATTGGAAAATTACATTCAAATAACTGACAAAGACAAAAAGAGCAATTTTGATTCTCGATCTTTCTAAAAGAACACACCTCTATGTTTTACTTTAAAAAAAATTGAAATCGAAACCTGAACTATAAACAATGCAAACACGATTAATAATTTGAATAAAAATCAAAGACCGAAAACGTGTTTGTCGAACACCAAGCTTTGGTCTAAAGGTGGCCAATGCTATAGTTGAAATTGTGGAGCAACATGTGATAAGCATACTGGGTACATGTTAACACTAGTACATTATGGTCATGTATACATGATACTAAATGACATGATTATGACGGGATAGCGTACCTTTGGGGAACATTCCCATAGGGTTGTGCACATTTCCCCCACCTTTAATGACCCCTAACCCCAACTTCACCTTATCCTACCCCCACAAATGTTGGTGTATTTATGTTTTTTGACAAAGAGCAATCGATCTAGCCTATTTGCGACACTAACACGTTGCCTCTAAATAGGGGTTGTGACATTAGGGATACATTGAGATGTCTCTCTTGGTGTCTCCCTAAGATATGACTAAAGACCAAAAAAATGTCTGGTAGAGGGCACATTAACAGAATTTAAAACCGCCTTAGAGCATTAACACCACAAGTGTATGTCTAATTGCCACATAGAATGAACAAACTGTTGCAGTGGTCTTTTAGCAGGGCAAGAGTCTTATCTTAAGCTTTTGTTTTAACCAATCACAACAATGCAAAACTTGGAGCAATCAATGTTGCTTTAAAGTTAGAGTAGATCATTACAGCTACATGTATACAAAAAGTAACAGAAGAAATTATTGTTGAAATGCTTACTTTGTTTAACGGTAGAGTATATAATATGTAGCTATCCAAAAAGTAACTGACGAAATTATTGTTGAAAAACATACTTGATTGAAAAATAGTATAATGGCACTAAACTAGCTGTGAAATTATTCTTTCTGGCATGCTGTCATTTGTGAAGAAAACAATAAAAGAAGGCCATTCCGAAAGATACGTCAAATGACGCATTTTTTATTTGGAAATTTCCATTAGTCATGTTACAAAATAGTTGGTTTCTAATTCGGCGAATCCGTGAATTGTTGCGCGCAAGCGTTGACGTGGCGCACAAGTCATGCGCGTGCGGTTGCTATACAGTGCTTGACATAATCGCGTATAGCTTCAATCGGCTGAATGACAACGTGTATACAGATGCGTTTTTTAGGTGTAATTCAAAACATGACTCGGTAACTTTTGATTTGAAATCGGGTCCCTAGAATATTGTTTTCTCGGAATAAACAGCATTCACAGAGCTAAACCTTGATCAGGCTAGTTGTTAAGCACCTGTCTTCGGATTTTGAGTACTACCTTTAAGCTTGCACTACCATAAAGTTTTTAACCAATCACAACAATGCAAACATTGAAGCAGTTAATCTTGCTTTAACTCCTCCTCGTATCTTTTCAGGCGACGACAGTTGTTAAGCACAAAAATGGGCCAAGCACAGATAGTAGTGGCTCGGCTAAGACAGGTTACCAGTCAAACCAGTGACTTGTTCCTGGCGGATTTCTGACTGGCATGTACATTCAAAGTTGGTGTATGCGTGCTTTTTGGGTGTGGCACCTTAAAAAATGGATATTCAAATTGAATTGATAATTTTCTACAGCATTAAATTATTTATGAGCTTTCCAATGAGACATCGCGCGAAAGAATCGGCCTGCGACAAGTAATCGATTAATTATATTCAACTTTTGAATTAAGAGCGGAACGCTCCTAATTTGTTCTGAATAGCGTGCGCAGTTTCTGAACTGGAGCGCGCCATTTAAAAAGAATTAAACAAAAAATGTATTAAGGCCTACAAAAACAAACCGGCAAATGTTTTTGTTACAGGACATTACATTTTTTTATATTTTGTTCGGAAAAGAAAATCGAAATTTTGAAAAGCACGTATATACCAACTTTAATATGCATTTTTTTCCAAGTGGCTCCGTGAAATTGGGCCCGGATTAACAGTTTGATATGAAATACTACATTGTTTAAGTTCGACACCGCAGTGCAGTGATGCATTCAATTTTTAATGTGAGTGTATTGTTCTTCAGTTGTATTACGTCTGTTTGTTGGCATATCTAGCCAACTAAGTCAACGGATTGCTCACCTTGGCCATGTTACAAATACACAAATCAAAAGGAAACAAAAGTTTTACATTAAATCAGTTGTTTCGAACACGCCTCCACCAACAGAATGTGACTGCCAATTATACAATTGGCATTCAAGTACTTATAACGAATTCAAACAGTACAAATGCATACGAATTTTGTAGAAAGTTATTTGAAATAAAGTATATCGATAGCTGTATCAATGTATTAAAAAACTTCCTTGAAACAGTACGAGAAGGGGATGAAGGGGGGGGGGAGAGGGAAAAGAGAATTACACACAATGTTTATGAACACACGATAAAACCTATGTTTGGTAACTTTGTAAAACGTTTGTTAAATTGGTCAGAACAACGGTTTTGCTCCAAGTCAAAAATAATAACATGTAACTCTTTAAAACTCTTTCCTTTTTGTTAAACTTTCGCTTTTCTTAACGAAGACTCTTAATGGTAAAATACAACAATGCGCATGTGCTCAATAGTAAACTATTAAACTTGTATACAAGCCGTTAATCATAAATAAAAAAAATGTCGTACATCTTACGAACTTTCTTTGTTCAGTCAGGAAAAACGATGTGCAGTACTGCAAGCATGAAAGAGTACTTACTACTTTACATGTACATCTACTTAGCAAGAGGAGAACATAAACGTTAAGCATCCTAAGACACAATTTTGCAACTTTGTAAATGCAGACGTAATAAATAACATTAATACTTCTGAACGAAATACAACCAAAAAACCCCTCGAACACAGAAACGGCAGCAGAGGATGCCTTCACAGGTCACAGAGCTCTGGATCAGCTAGTCTTTCCTCCAGTTCCCTTTTCCTCCGTAACAGAATCTCCTCAAGGGCCTTCTCCTTCTCCTTCATCAGCTCCTTCAATCGTTTGACGCGGTCCCCCCTATCGACGTAGGATGGCGGTGGCGGCGGCTGGGGAGGGAGGCTATCCTCCCCATCCGACATGTCTTTGTCCGAACGCGTCGGCTCGGCATCGGGACTGACCGACTCAGTTTTGGTACACGGTAGCTGACTCTCTTCAGTGTCCTTGACGCTCGGAGATAACTTAGTCTCCCCACTAGTCACTACTTGAGTTTCTGAACGACAAACCTTCGCTCTTCTGGATGACCCACTTGGAGGCGAGTACGGGCGCTTCAGTTTTTTGTCGCGGGTACTTCTTCGGATGTCTGTTTCTGCCTGTGGTTCCTCTTTTGGTTCTACATGTGGTTCCTCTTTTGGTTCTACATGTAGTTCCTCGTTTGGGTCTACCTGCGGTTCCTTTCTAAACTTAATCTTCAGTATAGGTAGCTTTTTCTTGGTTTTGTGCCTTGATTTATGGGAACGCTTTTCGGAAGATTTCTTGGCTTCCTTTGAGCTGTGTTTTGATGGAATGCCCTCACTGCTCTGTTTCTCCTCTTGATTGTCTTTCTTAATTTCTGTCTGTTTGACCACAGCCTTTTGTGGGACGACAAACTGGAATGCCTTGCTGCTTGCCATTTGCATCAGTACACCAGCTGCGTCTGCGTCAGCCGGAAGGCTAACCAACCTCTTCTCTCCGTTTGAGGTTGTGACCAGAAATGTTTTTCTCACCGCGTGTGCCAATGGATTGGCTCCGGGCTGCGCACTGGGTTTAGGTTCCACGCCAGATTTTGTTTGTTGAGTTGATGGTGTTTCTTTGGCCCCTGCTAGGGTTGGCACATTTACAACCTTTCTTATTACCATAGTTCTCTTTGCTGAAACTATCAGGGAGGCTTGGGCAGTGGCAGTCTGAGGGGGCGAGACAACCGCGTGACCAGACCCCGCAACACCCGAGGCTGCACACGTTTTGGGGACGACGCAAGACGACACGGGTATGGGCTTATTTTCACCCTCGACCTCAGAGGCGTTAGCTCCTAGTGCCGTCTGAACATTCCCCGAAGCCTCGTTACTGATTCTGGTTACAACAATCTTGCTCAGAATGCTGCCCGGACTTGGCGTACCAACTGGCAGGCTCAACCCAGCAGGAGTCTGGGATTTTGAAACAGATGGTGCAGCACTGGTAGAAATTCTTACAGGAAAATGTGTTGATGTAGGCGGTATTACCTGAACTGCGGAGGTTGGGAATACGGGAACCGCACGTGGTGAACTGACAGTGGCTCCCTGCAGGGTCCCAACCTGAACGGGCACGAAGGATAGCAGCTTGGATGGGTTCGGACAAATGGGGGTCTGGGTGGACGGGATCAAGGTATACATTTGGGTAGCGGGAGGGTACACCGGCTGCTGTAGTTTGGCCACGCCCGTGGATGATGGCACCCCTATAAAATTTGACGGTGCGAGATTTGCTGGAGGATTCATAGCTACGGTGGTAACTGGTGTGCAGACTGCTCTCTTCCTCACAGAACTTGTGATGTTGTACAACTTAACATTGGAACTGTTGGAAAATGGAAAGGTGGATGCCCTTTGAAGTCCACCTGCCACATTTCCGGACGATTGAGACTGGCCTCCAATGTTTATGCGTTGGGCTTGCGGGGTATGTATCGGTTGGCTTTGGACAGTTACTCCCAAATTTGCTGTTGGATTAACGGGATTTGTTCGGTCGGTTTCAGGTTTAGATTCGACAGGTTTCGTTGCGGGCTTTGCAAGTTTGGTGTCGGGGAACAGTTCTTTTGCCTCCTTCTCCGACAGGCTGTAGACTGAACCGATTCTTAAGGTGGGCACCCCGTCCGAAACTTCATCGGAGGGTCTGTCCGATTTAGAGTCATCGCGAGCTACTTGTCCATTGGTCTCGCAAGGATTCTGGTTTAGTGTTTGACTTGCAGGTCTGTCACTGACGGAAACGCCCGCGTTCAACAAAGCTTCTTTCAGGTTAGCGCTGGAACTGTAGGTATTTTCACCATGTGGTATGACTGCACGGATAGGCGCTGCGTCGTTTGTTTCCGAAACATACGAATGGTCAACGTGACCTTCAGGGTCCTTGCACAGGTTTGGGACCGTTCTTTTGCCGTCATTGGTGAGTAAACACGGAGAGCTCTTATCGCCATCCACTGGCGACAAGACTATCGAACACCTTTCAGACGGAGTTTTTGTCATTGGCCACTTTGTTCGTTTGATCAGCCCTTCTATCTTTTGCGGCTCCGTTTCGACATGCGAGGGCAATGTTACCAGCGTCCCAACGGTAGCGGGGGTGACCGCAGACCCGAGATCATCCGTGGAAGACAAATCAGAATCCAGCTTCTTGGGGTTAAGTTTAGCGGTGCTTTTATTTTCAACCGCCTTAGAGACCAGCAAGTCAACCACTTTATTTAACGAAGGTCTTCTAGACGGCTGGGTTTCCTGAGATTTGTATCTCCGAGGGGGCAAGGATTTCCTTCTGCTCCTTCTTGCTGATGTTGTTGGTGGCGGCCTGGCTTCATCCGAGTGATGAGTCGTGGGAGGATTTTTTGGCACCTGCTGCTCAGTTAACGCTGGTGAGTCACCAGATTCTGAGTCGCTTCCCTTGCGGTCTGCATCAGCAATCTGCATCAAGTGCTGGAGCGTCCGGACGGCTGGCGTAGCCGGATAATCTTGGCCGGACTCCTGAGCCGATTTTCCTTTTATGGGAGAGGCCTCGCCTCCCTCGGTCAAGAAATATTCGGTGGCGGTAAGATGATCACCATCATCCCTGGAGGACCCGGTCGGGGCGCCTTGGGTACTCTGAGACACCTGCACGCATCCACGCATGTCCGAGTCTGATGACGGTTTGGAAGTGTTGTTATTGTCCGAGTCCTGTCCGTTTGGGCCTCCACGAGAGGAGTCATCACTGAGCTTCTGGTTCACTACAGGATTTTTGCTGGCCTCCTCCTTGAGGTTTCCCGTGTGTTTTTCCTCAGAGCGCGCCGCCACCGGGTGGTCATGACTATTGAGCGCCACCAGCTTCCCCGATGCCTCCTCACTCATTAGCATGCTGCCCTTGTCGACCAGGATGGTGTTGGGGATGAGCTCCCCCTTGATGTCCACCAGTGCCGTCGCGGAGGTGTTCCGCTTCAGCATGGCGGTGCTCAGCTGGTTGCAGGTGGGCGCCTTGGACCCGGCGCCGACCTCGGTGGAGTGGAAGCCGCTGTCCTCTCGCCGGACCAGGGTCACTCGCCGAGGCCGGTTGAAGATGCCCTTCTGTTTGGCCTCCTTCATGTTGATCTCCATGTAACCAGTAGTAAAGACCCCGTCTCGTAACCAGCCCACTCGCTTGGAAAGCTTCAGTTTCTTGGTGTGTCCACTGCCGAAACAATCAGAAAATAAAAACAGATAAACGTATTATTAATTTCTTTTTTTTGTATCTCCGTATTTTATTTAAACATCAGGTGTTTTATTTGCTTTCGTCTTTGGGAGGGGAGAAATGACGACGTCAAATTCAAAACATGTATTTTTTTTTCACATTTCCAGATACATTGTATACCATCGGCAGTGATCCCGGATGTTGGATGTCTCCCACACACAGGGGCGTAGCCAGGTCATCTTTATTTTTGTTGGGGGGTGGGGTTTAAAATAACTTGAAAAAGGCTCTTGCACATCCGTGCTGAAATGTAGACACGTTTTTTTTCTCCGGACACTTGGCCTCCATAAATTTCAATAGTGTGTGTGTGTGTGGGGGGGGGGGGGGGGGGGGGGGGGGAGGGCACGCACCTGGCTCACTCCCCCCCCCCCTCCGGGTCGCCGGGTACGCATGTATGTTACACATTTTCTGCTGCCCCAAAACAAAATGTTCAAAAGTCTCGTAAATAAAAAAAACAGTATTCCCCTAAAATCCAAATTATTTGAAATTTGAAAATGAATAAATTCATCAACTAAAAATGCAAACTGCTGGGTTATAGCTCACTGTCGCAGGTGCAAAATTATGTTCTCTTATTTTTTTTTTTTGGGGGGGGGCGGATTTTATACTTATTATGGATTTCAAGTTTTTGTTTTCCCATAATGCATTGTGGGTAGAGCAGGAGCGCCACCAACGGCAGTTTTGCTGTAATGTTAATCGCTCGCATGTTTCCATGGTGGGGGATGTAGTGGGACAAAAGGAATTGTGAATGCGAAAAGAAAATCCTTTGAATATATACCTTCAATGTTCATAAAATAGTATAAATTATTATCATATAGAAATGGATAATTTTCTATTAAGGCCTATGTTTACAGATAATATACATTCAAATCTGAAATCAAAGTAATACAGAGATAAACAAAAACACACAACAGTGGAAAAAGTAATGCAAAAAAAATGAAAAAACATACAATTTCTATATTTATTTATGAAAAGTAATTAGTAACAGTAAGTTACGAACTGATGACTGGCTTGAAATTTTATTCGTTTAATTTGAAAGTACATTGTACTTATTCAATGGTTTCGACATCTTATTATGCACCCACAATCGTACACCTGTTATACAGCCATTAATATACCTTGGTCTGTACTCTGAATAATGAAACATGAAGTATGGTACTGTACATGGTGTCCCAAAATAAAGGTAACCCACAAACAAAGGGATAATATGAACAAGCTATGAACTTAACGACCATAATTATAAATTTCCAGGAAGCGCGCCACCAAGTATACATACTTTCAGGCTTCATTTCCATACAAATACTGGGTGAGTAAAAAAAAAGCGGAACCCAAACCCCAAAAATGTATTTCATATTTAAAAAAATATGTAGCACCAAAAATAATAATGACTGGAAAGCCAATTTCAAAAGCTATTTTTAGATGAAAAACCTACTGAAATTGCTCTTTCAATCCGTTTAAAGAATATCACCATTTAAACGCAATGACCCTAAAACCTGTTTCGTCCAAAATATCAATTTATTTTGTGTTTTGACTGTTTGGAACAGCAAAGAAAATAACACAGAATACTTGTTTCAACAACTGTCACCAACTGTAGCACACAATACTTTGATTAACAACCCTGGTTAGGCAAACAATATGATTTATCAAATCTACTTTTTAAAAAGACGGGCTTTCAAAAGGACTTTGTTGCATATTGTTAACGTTTAAACTAAGATCTCATTGCTGATAGTTGAAGACATTTGTGACGACGATAGTTGAAATCGCATTTTTGGACGAGACGGGTTTTAGGGTCATTGTGTTTAAATGGTGATATGTTTTGAACGGATTGACTAATTTCAGCATTTTTTTACATCCAAAAGTAGCTTATGCAATTGGCTTTCCAGTCATTATTATTTTTGGTGCTACATATTTTGTTTTAATGTGAAATATAATTTTTGGGGTTTGGGTTCTGCTTTTTTTGGCTCACCCTGTATACTGTATACGGAAGAATTTGCTCGGCTGTCAATACTTAAACTTAAGAGAAATGCAACCTTGCTTAGTGCATTACAGCATAGAATTACAATTTCTCTATTTTGGCATGTACATAAAAAGAGAATTACAATGTACATGTATTATCTTATTGTTAGTGTGAGATAGAGGTACATTTTGGTATGCAAATTTTGTGTGCAGTGATGCGAGTAGCAATGTGCGGTTATAAGGAGTTGAATGCTGGTTGGTGGCATTCGCAGTCCCATACCATTCCTATTAAATGACAATTAAGACCGTTGAATTGGCCATAACTTATAACAATACATTTTTACCAGATTAGAAAAAGTTTTGCGTTGTTTGAAGGTAATGAACTATACTCTCCAGGTATGTTTCGATATTTGTTTTGTATTTTTTTCAAACCTGTGAAAAAGAGGGCGTTTTTAGCGTTCCTTTTTTTGGGGGGGGGGGGGAAAACACCCATAATGCAGAAACTATAGACAAAGCTATAAACTTCTATTCCGCCTCCGGAAATGACCTGGTGCTCCTGCTGGCAAACGGACGCCAGCAAGGGCGAGTCCTGAACCAAATAATCGGGGCGGGGGAGGGGGCGAGAGGGCTAAGTTTTTTTCAAAAAGGGTAAGGGGATTAAGTGTAAAGTATCGTGCGCTATTTCTACATTGTAATACTAATATTTAAACTCAAAGGTATGTGTAGCTGATGACTTGCGCTTGTGAGGGAAATTCTCAAAAGGTTTTTATGTTATCCCTGTAAATTCAAGACAAAAAGGTGTCTTCACTCCTTTAAAAAAAATTGTTGGAAGGGGGGGGGGGGGGGAGGTGGAGATAGCCCCCGTTGCCCCTCCCCCCCGATCCACCAATGGACACTACTTATGAAGTCATCAGAGTTAATTTAGCTAAGGAGGATGAAATATGTTAGAGAAAGTGTGAATCCAGGGGGCTTCAGCCTCATTAAATCTCACCAATTTGTCTGACAGTCATAATTCGCAAGGTTGGACGATTCATATTTGTATCAAGTGCAACAGATCTACCCTCAGCCCCCAGGGGTGCGGCCTGATTCGTTCCTGCTTTGACAGAATCAGACACCTGCTTTGACAGAATCAGACACCCCCGCCCCTCTTCCCCATTTATGGTCCATTGAAAATCATCTGTCAGGTGACATGGCTACCATCTGTAAATAAAGCTATTACATGTATTATTATTCCCCAATGGCGGTGCAACGGGGAGGCATGTTGGCATATGCCCCCCGCCCCAGTTTTCTCCTAACACTTTATCAACAAATAGATTAATAATGTTTATTTTCTTCGCTGTTAACATTCATAAATATGTGGACACATAACTTTGGTAGACAAAACACGTCACGATGCATTTATACAGCCTTTAGTGTGTAGCCAACGTCTTTGTACATTTGTTATACACCATTCCACGGTTTGATACATTTCTCATTCATAAAAAACGACTACACACGTTGCTCTAGTGGCTGATTTCCGGACCATTGACAATGGGCACGCGCGCGCGTATTACACAGGCTTAAGATTTTATTTTGGCTGCCCCACAAAAAATATTTCCTTGCCCCCTAATTGCCCCCACCCAAAATATTAGAGTCTGGCGCCGCCACTGCTCTTCCCTGTGGCCCCTTAAGCACCCCCACTACTGGGGAACAGCGCCACCTAGTGTCTATAATTATTCTTAGCTTTGCTAGATAATGTGAGGATAAACTAATACAACAAATGTAGTAAACAAAAACAAACCAAATAGTTCAGTCATTTCAAGACAATACTTTCATGTGAACTAACTTGAACAAAATCTACAAGAGCACTGAAGAATAGAACATCAATAAAATATGCAAAGAATTACATATAGACCAAAAAGCACATCTGATCATTTTAAACAACAAATTAACACAATGGTAAACTTAATATTCAACTTTTAATTTAAAAAAATGCAAGCTGACGTGACACAACTACAATCAATTGGTCTTTTCATGAATTATTGCAACTGACTGATAAATCATTAGGAATTCACAAATTGTTTTATTGAACAAATATGCCAATAGATACCTTTTTGTTTATGAGTAGCTGATTTGTAGAAATAACTGGGGTTGTAATAATTAATACATGCAATTAATCAGCAATAATTGCATAATAAAAACCCCCTTCACTAATTGTGATATTTTCTTTTTCATATGTTGTGTTTAAACCTGTATTTGTGTGTACATGTGACGTTTTAATTTATCGCTGTATAATTATATTACCACACACGCACTTAACAGCTTTTTTTTTCAATCAAGCGTATAATCCCTTGTTTTGTAAGCATGTGCGACCTTTCATTCATCCAAAATAATGTGGACGCGACAGCAGGCGCAGCTGGGCACCTGTACACAGTCTGTAATGAATCCAGCATGCCGCAGATCAGGTGCCCGACTGACAATCCTGTAATAACAGAATGTCTCGGACTCTCGCATAACTATGCCCGTTCTAAAGAATGTAATGTAGACCTTAGTATCGTGCAACGAAGTTATGAAGAGGTCCTCATGTGGATACTTTATCATGTAAATGTACAAACATTGTGTCATTGTGTAAATGGATAGATGCCCGGGCCTGCGTAAGGATTGACTAAGTTGAAGGTCATGAGACTTAACGTATTTGTTAGTGGTTCACGATTTGTTATATACTGATCCGTATGATCTACCCTTGATGGGTTACAATCATGACAATAATGATAGGTCACTACACTTGACTACCTCTGTACTCACACTGATTTTTGAGTAATATGGAGTGACTGTTCTCGTTCACTGCAATGACATTTGACTCACCTCTCGCACGGCAGAGCAAACAAGGCGGGGACGAGGTCACTGGACTTATTGATGGCCTCAACAACGTTAGCGGGAACGCTCATACACTGTGCCGTTGTGGTCGTGCATGACGTCGTAGATGGCGTGGACGTGGAGGTTCGCAGTTGCGCAGAAGCGTCCGTCTCGGTATCCGCCATTTTGTTGACCCGTAATCGGAGACTAGTGCTGCAAATTAGCTGCTGTATTCATTGAGTATCTTCCGGCTTCTGCGAGAGAAACAAGATCTCTTTATTTACCTCTTTTCGTTTTAGTATGGACTCCGAGATTCGGCACGACAGCGATTCGGCCCAGCACGCAAAACTGTGCCAGGTCATGATAATAATGGAGGTCACATACAATGCGCAGAATGAAAGCGCATCCGGTAATGCGCATGCACAATGACCGCGCAGAGTAGGTCAAACAATCGATGCGGTTCAAAGTACAGGCTGGTTGCTGAACCAAACCGTTGTGCACACAAAGCGTTGATGTTGGACTACACAGTACATGTACATGTACATGTACTGAATGGACGTACATGTACGTAGAGTTAGTTTGTTACAAGTGTGCATGTACGCATGCGTAATTATTACTACAAACTATTAAATTTGTTGCAAAAGGCAAACTAAAACATATTGCAAAAATAATGTACTGGCAGTCCTATATTAGTAAATCGGTCTCAGTGTTCTATTATACATGTACATAAAAAGTGAAACATTTTCCCGAGGACATATTGTCATATATATTATATACCGACCTGTTACAAATTTGTGTACATTTTTATCATGCTATAATTATGACCTATACATTGTTCTTTAAAAACAAAAGTAGCTCCATGCCCAGACTAAGTTGATTGACTCCATTAATGTCTTCCTCAAAGTGCGCCCGAGCAATAGCCAATGGTGGGTTAGTGCTTGGCTGGAGCTGTTGAGATTTTTTTTTTAGTTTTGTTTGCTGTATTATTTTCATTTGAATGGAGAGAATAACAAGCGGACCAGGCGAAGCATACATTGATCATATGGCATTTACAATAGCTTGCGCAGGCTTCGTAACGGGTGTAGTATAATTGTTGTAAAAATAAAATGGGCTGATCTGTAGCTTTCAAGAAACGGAATGGGGGGGGGGGGTAGGATCTTGCTATAGGGGGTCTAGGGCATACCCCCTGGACAATTTTGAAACACTAACTTTAGTCTAGTCACAGACTCCCGTGGATTTACCCAGTTGTCACTGCGTGACGTGATAGATTAAAGGGAAGTATTCAGGTCAAATTTTTCAATTTTATTATAGTCGCAATATTAGTAAATTGTAATGCTTTCTTTTCTTTCGCAATTGTTATTGTCCTTGGATAGCTGCATATCGTATTCATACATGTACTGTATATCCGTAAAATATCTTAGGTTTCTGCATGCATGAGGCCAATTGCACGCTCTATTGTCGGCCCTGTGCAATCAGGGGCGATGTTGATTAAATCTGATAACGCCTTTGCACAAAAGGTCTAACTCATGCGTATCCCCTTTGAACGAAAGTACCTAGCCTACATGATGTGCAAGGGGCGTCAATAGTTTGGACAAAGTATGGGGGAGGATACTTTGATCAGAATTAATGCGAGCGCGAAGCCCTAACGGTGTGGGGTCCGGGCCCGCTTAAGTTAAGGGCCATGAAATTTGGATTCTTTGACGTTCTGTGGTGTGGTGCGATCTGAGGCAATTTCTGACCACTTTAGCCCATAAAGTAAAAGATCATCCTTTAAACATCATTTTTGAGTTTGGAGTAATTGAATCAGCTATTCTGAGCTATATAGACTCGAATGCAGGATACAATAAAATCGGGGACGAAAAAAGTGGGTGGGGGTGAAGACAAACGACATGATATCCTCCACTTTAAAAAAAGTGTGGGGGGGGGCACTTTAAAAAATGCGTGTGTGGGGGGGGGGGGGGGGGAGGACATATATACTCCGTCCCCCACCGATCGACGCCCATGATGGTGTACCTCATAGACAACTCAGTGCAAAGTCTATTAATCCCCGCACCAGAACCGCATCGGGCAAAACTTTGGCCTTCTATCCGCTCCGTTCACAAGTACCCTCTCACCGGCAAACAAAGTACAGTTGGGGATGACCGACCGACAATCTAGTCCGACTACAATTTGGCCGCAACGCGCGGCCGTACCACTGCGTGTACATAGTACAAATTCCCTGGTGTACGTGCTTCACACACAACGAACGTTGCGCGTCAACCAGCTAAATGTCCCGCCCATCATGGGACATCGTTGCTAGGTAAAAGGGCGCCCTCTTTAGTTGGTGAACGGAGCCCATAGCACATCACCATTCAATTTAATCGTCATAGCAACAGCGCCCCCAGGGAACGAACACCATAGAAAGAGGGTTACCACTAAATAATTATTGTACGCTCACAAAAAATCTCAGTGGAAACATTTCATAGAATGAATATCACTTTTTTTTTAAATACACCTTTTGTTAACTGCGTGCACGACCCACTCTTCAACGCACGGTCGTGTGGTGGCGCTTTCGCCTTCTCTCCATTCTGAAATGGATTACCCTCATAAACATAAAAATGTTTCCTACAAACCCCGCACATCCTATAAAGTCATGCAGAACCTAAATCTTTTTATTTTAGAAAGATAAAAAAAAAAACCAATTATTTGCTGCCCCCACTTGTTTTGGCGGACATCAGGCCTATCCGGCACTTTTTGGAAATTTAATTTCATTTTTTGCGTGTTGCTCGGCAGCGCGGTCTTGTCACATTGTGCGAAGCCTTGAATAGCGCTGCAAACGCAGAATCATTTTCATCTTATTTATAATGTCAAAAACAAATTGTGGAATTGTAGGCAGGTTTACCTTAAAACATTACAAATCAGACAGAGGTAAAAAAAAAAATTATGCATCAAAATACAGAACATAAGGAAAGAATCAGAAAAAAAATACGATAAAAATCAAATTTTAAATTATAAACTGATTGATTATTAAATAGACTTTTAAGTGAAACCAACATCTCAAAGTAGCATGTGTGTTGCTAGAAGATAAAATGTCACTAAAAATGAGAACCAGATTAAGCACAATGCTTAGTTCTTATTGGTTAAAAATGGAATCTTAACAGTTGTCAATCTTAGTACTATCTTATGTGTTACTAATGCATGCAAAAATATATGATTGAATAAAAATACAAAATATACAAAATAATTTATTAATTTATTATGTATACAAAATACAATTACATATATTTATTTATTTTTAGGGGTCAATTTTTGTTTTAGTTCCACGAATTGACCGTGGTGATATGTATGTGGCCTATTTTTGAGTAGTAGGCCTATAATAGGGGCGTAAATGGCACCACAAAAACATTTTTGGCAACATTTTTTGAACAAATTAAAACTTCTACAAAAATTTGGGAAAAAAACCCCAACTGTAAGCCCCCCCCAGCCAAATCCTGGGTGCGCCGCTGGCTCATTTGTTTACACCGCCATTGTGGTATCTAATCCATCAGGGCAGAAAATATGCAGGGCGTTTAGGATATAATTTGTCCAAACAGAACGGAACAAACACAATCATAGGTACATCTTAAAATGTACAGTAGGCCTATCTTAATCGAAATCAAGTAAGTATACAAAACGTACGATAAAATATGTACACAATTAAATAATTTGACATGTGATAATTAAACAATTTCTGCCACAATTTGAGATGAAAATGTTTCCCTTGTTTAAACTTCATGTAGCATAAAAGAAAAATAAAACAAAATCACTGAATTTATGCACCTTAAAAGTTGTTTGATAGTCAACTTAAAACGGGTTTTATTGCTCTTGATGCGTTTACGCAAAATGAATGCGATCTCCATTAAAAGTGTTTACCGCCCTCTGTCGACAATCGATTATATTGGTCGTTCAATGCAACGTATAGTTCATGCAAAAGACGCTGCGTGGTGGACTGTAATGACTACGCACACGTAGGTTTACGTGTCAACGTAAACAAAGTCAAATCTAACCGCACTTGCATATTTATGAACGTTATCTTCTGTTATTCTAAAATATTGAAATTGAAATACATGATTTAATTGTAATTCTTCGATAAATAATTATGTGCAGAAGCAAAACCGTTGAAAATCAGGCTGGAAAACGGCCTCAGATACTTGAAAATTGGCTGCAAATAAGTAGGGGCCTATGTATGCAATACGACAGTGCAAAGGTTACAAAAAGCAAAATATAATGGTTTTACTGCGTTCATGCTCCGCCTTATCATATTCAGCATTAGGCCTTAAACGTACACTCATCGTATGCAATAATCCTGTAATAAAGCCAACATAAGAATGGGGAATGGAGTATTATGTACATGTGCAACGCCTCTCCGCTGTGTGCATAATGCTCTGTCCAGTCAAGCAAAACACGTGGCGCGTACGCAGCGACTGAGTTAGTGGTGTGGGCCGCGGACCTGTGAAATCGTGCCTCCAAAGTGTTATACCATAATCGATATAGCTCCTAGGATGGTTTAACCATCTGACCATGGAGCTTATATAAATTGTGTGTATACACAACGCAAATTAAGCCGTGATTACCTGAGCAAAATCTACAGCACCGAGCCTCCCTTAACTTTCACAAGACCGTCGCCTTTATCCGAGCACAAGGAAGTTAAACACTTCATGATTTGTGTCATCATCATTTTGGCTTACGATCGAGTTCCTTCCATCCGGCCGCGGTTGCTGTATGGCGCGGTACACGCACGGTATAACGCGCATAGAAAAAGCTGCTGACGCCCTCTGTTGGTGCCACGAAAAAGCCACAATAAACGACAACATTATCACGCCATCTCTCACTGCCACGCGTGGACGTGACCCCGAGTAGCAGATAACAAGATAGACTAACAAGGAATTATGCTTACCCAATGACAATGTGGCATGGATGCAGTAACACGATATCCGGTAATATTAATTCCCCGCAGATAAATTCTGTCCAGCGATTCAACATGGCGCCTGGGTCACAGGAGGTCATTATTGACCAATCAGAGTAAAGTCTGTGTGCTGTGTGCAGGCTAACGTTGGGGGCGCTATATGTCCGTGAGTGGTGGTGGACTACGTTTGACGAATGCGTATGCAGTTTTGTTTCCTAATTAATATATCAAACGTTAAACTAAATGAACACACAATGAGGATTACGAAACTATTACATAAAACGTTTTCATTATTATAAATGGATTGTGCAAAAGTTGATGATAGCTTAATAAATTATTGCAAGAGGGAGAGAGATCGATGTAAAACTGCTTTAGCGTGATGGGTTTTGCTAACCTTGTAAGACCTATTTCGGTTTGATTTAAAGTTGACTCTCCATGTTACTGTCGAATTTCACTCTGAAAAAAAAATTAAAGTTCAGTTTAAATTAAATTGCTTTTTTCCCCAGCAATACAATAAATACTCACTTTGAGTAAGATATCAAACGAAAAAAAACCCGAAGGTTAAGTTGTGAAATAATTACATGTACATGTACTTCACAAATTCCTACTGAATTGCGGCTAGACAACAATTCAGCTTTCGCAGGGTACGTGAGACTGGAACCCGCCCCAAATAAGGATCGATACTATAGGGACCGGGAACCAGTCGATTCGCGGAGCGGTTCAAAAGGGGTAAACAAGTTTTTTTTTAAAATTCACAGGGCTGCAGCTGCTATAAATTAGGGGGGGGGGGGAGTTCCTTGGTTCAAATAAAACAAAAACATTTAAATCTCGGTAAAAAAAACCCACGATTTTTTTGAAGAGCCTAGATAGTACATCTTATACCTTAAATGTGAAAGTTTTATTTATTCCTTAGTGTGTCAACCGATTCCATGCACTTTATACTGTACTTTATTCTATTTTAAAAAAACCCCAAATATTCTCGAGAAAAAATTACTTAAACATCATCAAAATCTTTCACGCTAAAAGACTTTTTCCCGAAGAAATCTCATCGCTCATTTCCCTTTCTATTGCGAAAAAAGTCACATGGCCTATTAATAAAGTCATTTCCTTTTGAAAAGAGAAAGTCGCCGAGAGTTCAACGCACGAATTTCTCAAGTTTAATTGGTACACGCGGAGAAGCAGTTCCAGACTTTGCCCCTTCGTGCGGGCCGGGTTATTAACTTAAATTGGTTCAAAGTAAATTCAAAAGGCGCCAATCACACTTTTACCAAATCTCGCATCCTTGTCTTTTCCGCGTCAGGTCTTCCAAATAGTATAGGCCTATCCCTTTATTTAGAGCTTTTGGGATAGTCTGGCACATATCCCATTCAACCGTTTACAATTTATTCAGGGGACACGACCAAAATGACTTCCTTGTGAATATGGTCTAAGGTCGACAATTTTGACTTGTTCACCGTGTCTTAGGTCGGAGAAAAAAAGTAAGTGAAGGAGAGGTCTTGCTTCTTACGTTCTATTTGCTTTTTATTGGGCTTTCATGTGTCCATTTCATTCACAACCATCTGAGCAAATTACTGTGAAATATAATGTGCACAATATATGTTTCACCCCAGATTGCATTATCATAGAACTTTTCACAATATCCAGTTGCAAAGTAATTGTAACAATTTTGATGGTCCACTCAAGTCGAATTAATAAGAACACACGCTCTGGCCTTGTACAAACAGTGTGTGTACGTAATTGCCACAGTCTCCCACGCCACCATACCAGCGATAACATGTCAATACCAGCAGAAACTAGACCAGCGCTCCATTTGGATTTACAGGATTTTTGTGTGGGATAAAAATTGTTACTTCTCACTCTAGTTGGGGTGGATGGTCGCTGTTCAATAAAAACCACGGATTTTTAAGTCAGCTTTATCCGATACCGGGTCAGAGTTGTCCTGATATTTTTTCTGGGTCAAATGACACTTCTCTGAGTCACTTTCCGGCCATGTGACTGGGAAAAGAGTCATTTTGACACACAAAACAAATTGTCATTGTCACCAAGAAAAGTGTCATCAATACACGACAAAGGTTCATGTTGACCCAGACAATGTTGGGTCAAAAATGACCCGGAGTCTGGGTCGAACCTGACTCAGGACATTTGAGAAAAATAATTCCGGCCGGTAACAGTTTCCAGTAACAGGGGACTGGAAAAAGAACTTCGAGGATCTATCTGGAGAAACCCACGTCTTAAAAGGGCGCCGCTACCATACACGGTGATCCATGGCGTGAACCAACCTGGCGTCACAAAACCAATTTGAATGGCGGGAGGGTGGAGATGGATATGACCACAGCATGGCTGACAGACCGCACCGGGGATTTTGCAGGTTAGATTTTTCAGGGAGGAAAAGATGGAGAGGTGGATTATGACAAAAAGGGGTGCTGTTACGTTCGAGATGGACCGAGCACTTCTTGAAAATGCACTCTTAAAAATTTGACCACGAATCCGGGTCAGAATCGATCTGACTTCTTCCGGGTCAGAATGAGTATTTTTTTCGTGTCCAAGTCTAAAAGAGGCACCGATAAGTGTCATTTTGACCTGGAAAGGTTTCGGGTCAAACCTGTCCCGGGTCTAGGTCAAATCTGACCCTAGAGCGCAGTTGGCACAGTGCCATAAAAAATTGAAAAGAATGGTCTGGAAATTGTGTCACATTTCCACACCCGCTCTATATATACATGGTGCAAAAAGAAGGAACCGAATTTTGACAGCAATTTTCACCTACTTGTTGAGCATATTTCAAAAATTCAATTTAATGGTATTACAATATTGATCTTTTAACATAAGTGACAAAAAATGAACGCAAATGCACATTTTGTCTCTGATGAGATAGGGTAGTTTAAAAACGTTATGTGCCAAACCTGTTTGTCAACGGATGGCTTTATTCCATCCGCTTGACTGAGCTCCGGAGCTTGATTTCAAGACAAAAAACACCACTGTATTAGACTTACACGTGGACAACTGTGATTTTGGTGACTTGTATTCAAATTAGCATAATAACACTATTCTTGCAATTTTTTTTCACCACGTATGGTTGAAGAGCTATACTTCTCTACATTGTAAAAAAAGTTCAAATAAGGTAAGTAAGTAGGTTAAAATTCCTGTCAAAAGTGGGTTTCCTTCTTTTTGCACCGCCCTGTATATCTAGAGCGACGCCTGTAACCACCCGTGGTCTGATTTTCACGCCCTCGTTCTCGGAAGACAAGTGATGATGTATCTCCTCATTAGCCCATTGCTGTCTTCTTTTTTCTATGGCGACAGGATCAGTAGCGGGGGAAGGAGGTTAAAATACTTTGGTCTCGCGGGGCGGCGCAGACAATCAGGACTGACAAATCACTTTGGTCCAATAATCTGCTTCTCCAATTTGGTCCCTGGAATGGGTTCACTGTTGTAAAGGAAAAGCTTCCAATCAGTTTGAATTCTAATAGGCACCGAGAAGTTGAGTACACAATACATATTACAACATTTTGAGTGATTTGGGATGTTGTGTTGTGCTGTGCATTTTAAAAGAAAAAGAATAACAGATGTCAAAAGATAGGCATCGGTCTTACAATGTCCAAATTAAAAAATACTAAATATAGACTTCAAAAAGAAGACTTTTTATGAAAAGCCCGTTGCTCAGCAGGATTTTGATGGAAAACTACTAAAATATAATTTTTATTATTATTATTAATAACATTATTTATTATTATTATTAATTTCTGGTACTGAAACCAAGGAATCCTCAAAAGCGCCAAGGGCACTGTAGCTCACAAGCCTGAAGAAACCTGTGGAGACAATGAGAAGAGTTTACAATTTTAGAGGTGGGAGGAAAACTCCGGAAGAATATTCTGGGGGAAACCCACGGGATCAGGCAGGGACTGAAAACCCAAATTGGCCCAGGCAGGTATCCAACCTGGGTCACAGCGCGGCGGTGGAAGGCGAGGAGAGTACCGCTACGCCAACCGGCATGAGCATAACATGTAAAGTAAAACGTTGGTCACAGAGAGCACGAAATTCCATTGAATTGATTCAAAATGGCAATTCATTGAAAATCTTCTCATGCATCTGGTGTTCACAGTGGGCCAGATTTAGGCGTTACTGGTAATCCTATACAATAGTACTGCCCGGCTCACACGTGACAGTCAGTCAGTCAGTCTGTCAGTCAGTCAGTGAGATAGGCACAAAGGAACGTAATGCAAACCAAACGAAATGAAATAAATACAATTACTCAGAATCTTCAATTTTTTATACAAAGTTGTTAATCGCTGAGCTAGATCTCAAAGATAGTCTTCCGATTTGACGAACCCTTCTAACATGCCACTTCTGTTTTTAAATTAAAGACTAGTTAAGTTTAGTATCCAATTCATAGACGTCAACCGCTCTTTCCGGGTGGACCGTAATTATAAGACCATGCGAGTGTCGGTCATTCTCCGGCGAGTGCGCGGAGCAGGTGTCGGCGGGGGCAAGACTCGTGGTAGTCACCCTGTCGCTGGAGCCCTGACACGCGGTGCCATGTCCAAACAAGACGTTTTCCCCTTTAGCTTGGAGTCCAGCGCCCAAATATTGACCGTCGTTATTGAGAGACATCAATTATTTCCGGCCCGTGGGCTTAATTGTCTTCTTGTTTCCTTAGGACGGGAGAGATGAGGTAACATTGAGCACATATTCCCCCCCCAAAAAAAACCCCAAGTTTCCCATTGGTGAGATTACGATCACCGTTATGCGGCTTTCGGCCACTGGCAAGTATGGAGGGACTTCTATCGTGGAGCGGGGTGTAGCGTATAAATACCCCAGGCAACGCGCGATGGCGACCTCGTAGTCTCCAAGTCGGTCACCGAGGAGAAGCTACGGAGTGGAGCGGGGACTGGATTCACCTAAACTGAGCTTGTGTCATGTGGGTAAGTTCCTGCCGTATTATACTGTAATACCGTAAGTCTTATACCGCAACTATCCACTAGAGTGATTTTGGGTGTTTGAAGAAATCAAACATATTCGGGATTAAGACTTGCAATTTTTTTTAAAAGAAATTTATTGAACTTTATTTTCTGGTTATAAAAAAAGGTAAACATTTCACCCTAAGTTAGAAACCTGAAGAAACCTTTACAGAGAGAAGATAATTAAGAAACTCAATTTCGGAGGTGGCAGTGAAAATGACTCAGGTATGGTATGTCAGTGAGAGTCAGGGACTGAATTACCCAAATCCACTTGTTGGCCTTGGTGGGATTGGAACCCGTCCCCTAGAGATGGAAGTTCCGCTGTACCAAAACACATTGATTCAGAGGCCACACTGAGGTATCAAATTCCCGACATCACCTAGAGCACAAATTGACTGGGTTTCGATGTAATTTCCAAATCTAACTTTACTGTAAAATTTGTCATTCGAATTTTTCTGAGACTCGTTCTTAATATAACCAATCCAATTGTACTTCCATTATGGCTTACACTTTTTGTGTTTTTCAATTCATCTGTAAAAAAAAAAAAAAAAACCAGGCAAGTAGTGATGCCCTTGATGTTTTCTAGGGTTAATGTTGTTGTCATTTAGCCCCAATATAGTATCGTCTGTGACAATCTCCAAAGGTAGACTGCAGTCTTAAGACAATTCTTACACTCTAAAAAGTCCCGGGTCAGAATTGACCCGGAAAAGGGTCATGTGGGGCCTGACCCTTTTCTGGGTCAAAAGTGACACTTTTTTGGGTCCAAATTACACTGTGTAACTCATTTTTCGGGTCATTTTTTACCCAGAAATGGGTCGTTTTTGACCCGGATAAGGGTCAAGTCCCACATGACCCTTTTCCGGGTCAAATCTGACCCGGGACTTTTTTAGAGTGTACGATTTGCCAAGTGCCTTTAATTCTTCAAAATGCCATGTAATGCGCAGAGTGGTGCAAAATGGTCATTGTAAATGCCCCCCCCCCCAAAAAAAAAATGGCTGAGCTACGATGTTAATTTTTGTTGAAGATTTAAAGGGGCATCAGATTAATTTAGAAAAAAAAAAGTTTATTACTGCACAAAATGTTTAGAAAATCGTATGTATGGGCGGCTTGTGTTTCGCTTTTGAAACGCCTTTAAGGGTCTGTGCGATGAAGTTTTCCTAGTATTACATTTTGTGCAACTCTCTACTCCTCTGAAATGTGTGGAAACTGAATGACATTTCATTTTAGTTAATTTTATTGAAAAGCGCACTTCTTTACAATTCTTTTACAATTTACATACTCTTCCAGACAACTGAGGGTGCTGTTGCTGTGATGTCATTTCAGGAAGACACAGTTCAGTTTAGGGCCTTTTCTGTTCAAATTGTGGACCAAACATTTGCTCATTGAAAACGTTCGTGAGAAAGGGTTCTCATTGGCTTCCTGTCATGTACTTACACAACAACAAATCACCAATGAAAAGAAAAATTGATGACAGCAAAATATCAAAAATTCTTGCAACTTTTTGTGTTAAGATAACTGTAACATTGAGGTTTCTGTCCGGAATGACATCACAGTTTTGCTCATGAATATGGAAATTGGCATTATCATAAAAACCAAAAAGGTAATAAAATTACCCTTTAATATGGCAAACCGAAAATTGAAAATTAGGTTTATTGGGACAGAAAGGTGCATTTTCACGGATTGCATTAAAAAAAAACATTGCATGAACCCTTTAAAATGCTCCAGATGCAGTGTAAGTATTGAACTGCAAGTAAATCAGGGAGGTAGTTATCTTTTGGTTAGTTCATTAGCCAAAACGTTGGGTGGAAAACAACATAAACCCAAACCAAAATCGCCATCAACCTCCAAACCATTCGCTGATAGGTAGGTTACTTGTCCATAATACACCTGCATAGCCAGTGATATAACTTTCTGGAATGATCGAGCACAGAGTAGATAATTCTCAGTCGACACGCAATGAACCAATAATCAAGTGTTTTACTCACTCCCCTCTGATGATGAAAAGGAAATATTCGTCAAATCATTCTCACTCTTGAATTAAAATAAAAATTGAACCAAACCAGTTTACCAAATTAAAGTTAAAAGTCCACAATTGTGATGAAGCACATCTGCGTGCGACTTCGTTTCGTCAACATGTTATATTACATGTACTTCAGTGACATAATAGGAAGTGATCCATATCTTTTGCCCGATCATGAACTTTTTGTAATTATGTTTTCTTTAATAACAAAAGTACATTGCACCCATCTATTACGTAATTGCTGTTTTTTTTAATGAGCAGTGTCTTATCCGAAGCCTTAGAAATGAGATATTATTGAGTATATAATTATTATAATGTGGGTGTGGATTTTTCTATATAATAGGGTGCAAGTTTCACTGACAAATAAGAATCTAGAACTGCCTATACTGCACGGGAGAAAATGTACTAAAGGGTCATGCAATGTAATTTCTTTTAATGTAATCCTTGAAAATGCACCTTTGTGCCCCTTTAACCATATTTTATATTTTGCGGTTTGCCATTTTGAAGGCAAGTTTGGTGCTTTTTCGGTTTTTATGCTAATGCGAATTTCCATTTTCACAAACAAAAGTGTGATGTCATTTCAGGTAAAAACCTCATGACAGGTATTTCAGCACCATAAGTTGCCAGGAATTTGGATATTTCTGTGAAAGAACACTTATTTGGTGATCCGTGGACAGAACTTTAAAACGGTGTTTGTGTTTGATTAACATTCCGTACCTTGAAAAGTACATGAGTGATTGAATGATTCTTATGCTAAAAGAAGGCTTATTAATTAGGCTTTCATATCCTAGATTTTGAAAGTGCTTCGTGCAGAACTTCATTACAAAAATGGTCCTATATCATTTGGGTTTCCTTTTTTGACTCACCCTGTACATAACAAAATGTAGAAACAAATCAGGGAACAGGACATGGGCGGCACTCCCCCTTCTCTCCTAGTATCCCGATACAAGTGATATTATTAACCCACAGGCTGTCTGATCTGTACACGCTCATCAGCCGTAATTGCAAGCGACGAACAAGTGATAAAGCTGTGTCAATATGGTCAGTGCGTCGCAATAATTGCAGTCCCGTACACCGCGCGTTGCGTCACAAACGTCGCTCATTTATCAGTGAACTTTGCGTAGCTGCGCTCCCCGTGCAAATATTATGCAATTTAGCAGGCCTATTTCAATCTCGTTTTTGTTTTTTTTACAATAAATGACCAGTGATTGAATCAACTGAGAATTCTTGCACATGTTAAGCACACAACCAAAGAATGGGGCCTTATTCTTTTTTTTCTACCCCCGTTCTGGGCACTTATGCCATTTACCATTACGGGGAGATTTTTGAAGGCAAAATAATAGCGACAGCAAACAAGACGGGAAATGCGATGGCTATCTCTTCATTGTTTTTGTATCAGGTCCCGAGGTGGAAGGATTGTGTACCGATCTCATTTAGTCTACAAATACTTCTTGGGCCCAGACTTGATTATTAAAGTAGTAGGGTCTGGAGAGGCGGGGTCCGGAAAGAGGAGGCGGGAAGGGGGGGGGGGGGGTTGCAACAGAACACGACGTACCGATTTATGCTTTATAGGGTGGGTAGCAGCGTAGCACTAAGCTTCTTCGTTTGCAATTGTAATATAATAACAGTAGATGAGCAATAATTAAATAATTGACGTATTTTCTTTAAGGGGGGGGGGGTACGTAATGATAAAATACGCACTAATATATTCAAACGATGCCACAGGCCATTGTTAAGTCCTGCCATGCAGCATTGTCATCATGTAGACCTAATAAAATGTATACCGAACACATTAAGATCATACTATTTGTATTCTCCGAGGGTAGTCGAACTACGAGGGTGATACTACCTCCACTGTTGTGTTTGCCCTTGAAGAGATTGAAACTTCGCGTTGGTCATCAACGATATCTGATGTAAAGAACCATTATATGACAACCCTAACCTGGAGAAAATTGCTTAATAATAAGCGGTGAAGAGTGCCTAATACGAGGTGTTAAAGTAGGCTTTATTGATGGATTGTGTAGTTCAATGTTGCTGTAAATTTGGGATTCAGCCGTTGACACACCTAAGCTCAATTTCAACCAAGGGCCTTCCCCTTACTTAATGATTAATGGAAACATGACTGAAATTCCAGTTGACAAAAAGAAGCCCGCCCGTCCTTTGTGGGGCGGGCGTATTGGGAGGAAACACCCCCTTAAACCACCCCTAATCGCCCGACGAGAGAGACGGCAACAGCTGCCTCGCTCTAGTAGTGGAGAACTGGTTTTTCTCTTTTTCTTGCGTAGTGCGTTTTCCCCTCTTAAAGCCACTGAGGTAATTACTCGATCTTAGGAGTAGTTCGGCTCCATCCGGTTTTCCGGGCACCGGGATCAAGCCTTGTGAAGGCGGTGTGTACGCGGGTTGGTACGGTTGGGTCCGCTTTATTTGCCAGGTCACCCAACCCATGTCCGCTTGCCGGTTGTGTTATATTAATGTATGCAGGCCTTTTACTGATAGATGGTTTGATGCGTGATTACACAGCATAATGCTTTGTCATTCAGCTAGTTTGTGTGTGTGGGCAATTTTTTTCATACTCGGTTTATGACGCAATGATTTTAGCTGCGGGATAGCATCTCAACAAATCATCGTGTCTCTCGGTTAGTTAGCAACAAACGTTGACATTGTCTATTTTGCTCCTACATAATTTTGACCGGTTCAACCAAACTTTGTCAAAAGTATATCTGTAGCCCAGCCCCAATATGTCACATGACCATGTTGTCAAAGGTCATCATGGGGTCACTGGGGTCAAAAACCTGATTTATTTTTTACTCAAAACACTACTTCTTCCAGAAATTACATGGCACAATCACGGGACTTATGCATGAACACGAATTCGTTGGCCTGCAGCTTCCGAGATATTTCCGATCGAGCTTGAAGCGTTTATTGTTGTTACTTACCTTCCGGC